AACAGGTGCCTGCTGCAGAGGTGGGGGCTGTCTCCAGGCAGGGGGTGCAGGGGGGGCTGGCGAGGCTGGCAGAGCTGGCAGCACGCAGGTCTGTCCCTCGGGGAAGCTGCAGGGCGAGCAGAGGGCGTAGGTGGCTGGGGGACAGGTCACCTGGAGCGATGGCATCGGTGCTGGCGGTGCGCAGGCAGCCCATGGCCCCGGGGAGGCAGCTCCAGCCCCAGCACAAGCTCTGCCCGTGGGAGCTGCCTTCAGGGTGGGCAGGACAGGGGTGCCAGGGGCAGCTCTGTGGCTGGCTTGGCACCCTGTTAGGAGCGAGGAAAGCCGTGCAGGTGCGGGAGAAGGTGTCAGGGCTGCAGGACTGGTTTATGACTCGGCCACTGTGTCCTTGCTGCTAGGAGCAAGCAAAACCTTGAGGGAGGAGGTAGGATGGAGCCTGGAGCTGAAAAAGCTGGGGTTGGGAGGGATGCTGGGGCTGCCCTGGCTGTCTCCACTCATGGCAGGATCAGCACCCTTTCCACCACGTCTGAATTGGGGCCCCGCAGCCTGGGCAGACCTCGTACCTGACCGCCATTGTCACCACCATCATCACCACCATCATCATCAAAGTGTGGCCGGTGAGACAGCAACATGGTGCAGGGAGGGAGCGTGCCTGGCACCGGCACTGGCGGCTCAAGGCAGGATGAGGGGTCCCCAGCACAGCGCGGGGTGCTGGGGAGCAGGAGGGAGACTCACAGCTGGATGGTCGGGAGAAGCTTCCTCCGAGCCCTGCTGCAGCTTTGAGACAGGCACATGCCTGGTCTGGATGCAAAGACACCATACAGTAGAGAAGCCATACGCCGGTAATTAGTTCTTTTGGTGATTAATTACTCTCACCATTAAAGACCAGTGGCTATTAACAGGGTTTCTACTTGTTCTATTTTGGACATTCATCTACTCACCTTGCTCTGCGCTGGCATAAATCAGAGCAGTTCCACTGACAGCTTTATACCAGGAGACAATTTGTCTCCAGCCTTTCATATTTTGGAAAAGAGAAGTAGGAGAAGCAAGAGAAAAAAAGTGCTGCCGGGCAGGGACTGAGGAGAAGTGGTCCAGGTGACCAAGGCAGAACAGACCGAGGCTTCAGATGGGCATGGTGGAGGGCAGGCAGCATCCTCCAGATCACGAAGAGACCTGAGGCACCAGAGCCCCAGTCCAGTTTTGGTCCAACTGAAGTTCAGCAAGTTAGAGGACCAGGCTCAGGCTGGGCAGTCACCAGGACCCCATACAGCAACAAAAAGGATTTTCCATGTGTGCACTGGTCTGGATGACCCCTGGATTAAAGACATCCCTAAAAACCGGCACACAGTGAAGAAAAAGACAGAGCCCCACATGTTCCACGGGATAAAGCTCCCTCGGCGCAGGAGCGTCCCTCTGGCTCTGACGTCTCCATGTGCGAAGCAGAGCGTGCGTCCTGGACAAAGGACACAAATGAACAGCACAGGCAAGATCAGATTATGTGAAATCCTCTGCTCACTTGACCTCCTTCACGTCCCATCTTCTATTTATATGCCTTGGGGCTGCCAGACAGCACAGGTTGTCCTTGGCCCACGTTTGCGGGGCTGGGGGGGGGCTCAGCCATGGGTCCGTGAGGTTAGGGTTGGCCCCTAGAGCTGGCCGCCACCATCTCGAAAGGAGAGGTTCGAAGGGTTTCCTCCTAACAGCCCGACTGGGGGGGTCTGCTATCCCCCCTTCGCTGGAGGTGAAAAGCAAACTGAACCTCTACCCTGGAGTAACCTCCCCGTCAAGGGACAGGAAGGTCAAGGAGGACTCCTTGGGCTTTGGTGTTATGGGTTTCCTCAACAAGCAGTGAGTTATTCTTTGGTTTATGTGATATTTAACGAGCAGGTCCTGGCTGGGGGCCAGGGCTGGTTACGGATGCCTGCTCTGTTTGCCTTTCTCATGTTTTTCCCCTCCGGTCCCTTCCTGGCGGGAGCTGCTCACCGCCTGCTCCTGAGCGATACGTGCGTTTGGGGAGGTAGAGATGCTGCTGACCCAGAGGCCGGGGTTTGGTCTTGGTACCAGTCCAGCGTGGGGGAACACAACGCAGTGAGCACCCAAGGGAGCACAGGAGCACCCAAGGGAGCACAGGAGCACCCAAAGGACCCTGCTGGGAAGAGCCAGGTCTGTGAGGGGAGACGTCCTCCGTGGAGAGCTCTTGGAGAAGGATCAGGTCGGGGGCTTAGTAGGGCAGGGCTGAACTACGGCAAAGCAAAGGAGACGCTTTGGGGAAGCGAAATGTGGATTTGCCTTTACTGCTGCTTTCTCAGCCCGCTCACAACAGGCTGGACATGAATGCCCTGGGTGGCTGAGGGGTTATTTTCCTAGGACTGGGAGCCAGGGTCACGGAGAGAAGGAGCGTTTGCTGCCTGTGCTGATCTCTCCCCCCACAAGGACACCCTCGTCGCACCCCACACGCTGTGCTGCAAGGCGAGAACAGACCCTCTGCACCTCAGGCTGGAGAAAACAGAGCCGGTAGCTTGGCATCATCTGGATTTAACCTTCCAGCTTAGTCCCCTCTGGGAAGCAGGACGTGACCTCCTCATTTCCACCGCCCAGGCATGGCTGGCAGCCGGCAGCGGCGGCACACGGCTCTGCATCTCCGGGCTGGAGCAATCAGAGCGCAGCAGGCATGCACAGACAAGTGCCAGCTGAATTTCTGTATGACTTTAAATACATTAGCAAGGCCACAAACACAGCTCCAAAGCGCTGCAGGCACAGCCGAGCCGATAAATAACCCCCGAACCCACCAGCGAGAAAACAACCCCCCTTTCCGCGGGAGACAAGGCTTAGCATCGCTTGCCCCCTTCTATCTGTATAGCAGCTGAGCAGATCCGCTCTCCACCTTGCTGTGTTTGAATCCAGTACCAGAAGGGTCAATTCTGTGCCACTTCTGCGGAGTCATTATACTGTCGGTTATATAAATGTCTGGGCATGCACAAAAGGCAGTGCTGATACAGTGGCTCCGACACCAACTCCCTCCAACACCTGCTTTTCAGCTGGAGAGAAAGCCGAGCACAAGAACATCTCGAGAGCTGTCACACAGAAGGCTGCTGTCTTTCAAGCTGAATGGAGGTCTAAATAGCTCTCACTTCTCCTTTAGAATCTCATTTCTAAATGCAATTAATACTGGCACATGCATAATGAGAGACTGACGAGTGAATACAGACTCCAGCAATACAGAAGCCAGCCCCAAGTGCTATGTAAATATTACAAATCCTCACTAGAAGCTGACCCGGGGAAGACAGCTTTCTGATGATTAAGCCCAAGTGACAATACGACTGGATTCCTACATCTGTCACAATACTACCTGCTGATACATAATGAGCTACGCTAAAAGAACTAGCTCTTGCTGCTCTTCAATGCAGATAAAATGTCTATTTGTAGAATGTAATTAATCTCTTCTTCAAAATCAGGAACCTTAGTGTCCTTGGTAACAACATGCCAATGACTCAGAGAGCGTCTCCAGCTTTTTCTTCTGATTTTTAAGCGAGTTATTGAAAGTGACCCCAAATTCAAGCACTGCAAAGGAGCTGTGCTTCAGAAGTGGAAAAGCCAGCTGGGTATCTGGAGGTGGGGACAGGTTTTACCCACCTCTCAGGTCTCTGCAGGGCTCCTTCGGCAGCTTAAGGAGATACCCGGACTTCTTTCAGCCACGTTCCCTGGGATGAGATGAGCTCTGTCCCAAGACCTGGTCCCCAACCTGTTGAGTGCATTTCCCTTTTACCATCAGGTGTAACCAGGCAGGGAATAACACTGAAAGCAGAGCAAGGATGAGAATCATGGGATGAAGCTGCTCGCTCCTCTGCCGGCTTTCCACAGGCAATAAGTGCTGTGCGATCGCGCTGCGTGTGTGTACGTGCACACACACGCGTGTGGCTGCTCCCCCTGATGGCTTTCGAGCCTGCTGGCTTATTTCAGCCAAGTTTGGCAGGGGATAGAGGTTCCAAGGCATCCAGTCCCTACCGGGTAGCGAAGATGCAAAGCCATAAGCGCTGACGTGGCAGAGGGATGCAGGGAAGGGTTGCTGCCAGAGCCCCTGGTCCCTTTGAGGGTTGGACTCGGGCATCGCCTGCTCCTCCGGCCACCTGGCTCTGGGCTGGCTGAGATTTATGCCGAAAAGGCAAAGCTGGGCCACTCAAAAGCACCCAGGGGCCATATCTGCTTTCTATGAATTTCAGCGGGAAGCAACCGCTGCTGGATGTTGCTCACTGACCCAGTTCCAAAGCCCAGGGGAAGGACGGGCCATGACAAAGGGACAGCTGGTTGGACAGAGTGGGTGATGGAGGACTTGCGTGATTGATTTATTTATTTCCTGGGGGGAAAAAAAAAAAAAAAGAATAAAAGAATTGTTGGATAAAATCAGCATATTGCAGGCTAAACTCTATTATAGCAATTCCTCATGAGACTTGAGCTCAGGTGCTCGGTCCCCTTGCAAGGGACATTCACCCCTGCCTGCTGCACGCTGCTTTGCAGAGCCGGGGGGACGTGGGGAAAAGGAGGTTTTTGTTGTTACCGTGGGTTCAGCTCCTTCGATGCAAAGCCACCCTTTCCCGCAGCAAGTTACGGCTTTCGTTTAGAAAGGGCTGCAGTCGGCACCGCTGCCCACAGCTCACCCCATCTCCTCTGTCCCCAGGCATCCCGAGGGAGAGGAAGAGACCAGGAGAGAAGCTGGCTCTGACCCTCATGCCACATAACACCGCTTCGGAATAAAAGCCAGGTGGGATGCAGAAGTTATTTGGGAGAGATGGAGCTTTGGGGAAACTGTGGAAAGAAAGCGCTAGCTTGGGGTAAAATGCCTGGTCTTTGCCTTTCCTGCTCACAGACCCCTCAGGCATTTTAATGATGGTTTTCTTCCCATTTCACCCAGGATTTAGAGGTCTCTCTGCTCACTGGTGAGGCTATGAAGGCTCTAGAAAAGTGAGTTGCTCTGGGGGAAGGAAATTAGAGCCCGAAATGGCCAGATTGGAAGGGAAAAGCTCATTTTTGCACCACTTCCAGTAGCAGCTCAGCTCCCAGGTGGGGCACATCCAGCCCTTCCTCAGTGGCCTCCCTTCTGCTGCCTGCACGCCAGGGGCATCTCGTAGGCACAGAAAAGGCAGCAGAGCCGGTGGTGGTCCAGCTGGGGTGGGCACGGGGTGTATGTGACGTGAGGATTTGGGACTGATGTGGCTTTGTGTCCTACACGGTGACCCCAGAGAGTGACGGCCAGCTCTAGGCTGTTCCTCTGCGGCTCCCAGCAAAGGTCGGGCAACTCACACCGCTGCCTTGGCCCCGGGAGGAAACCTTCGGTGTCGAGGTTGAGGGGACACTGGCCTGGGCTGGGGCACGTGTGCGGGGTTTGGGGAGGAATTGAGGCCAGGGTTGTCTTTCCTAATCCCCCCACCCCCCCAGCCTACAGGGCACTGCTGAATGTCCGTGGGCAAGCTCAGGGACTCACCTTGCCCTGCCTTCCCTTCGGCAGATCCCCCAAAGCTCCTAACCTCGCCTGTCCCAGCTCTCAGCAAACAATTAACCGTGACTCCTTCTCCTCCTGCAGCTCCCCCGTGCCCTGCAGCCGGCACCCAGCACATCCCGG